ACCCTCCGTGTCCACATGTTTTTACAGGTGTTTTTTTGAGACTTAGATGATACATGTTTAGTACATGCTTGGCATATATCAAGTGCCCGGTATGAGTTAACTGCCCCTGATATTCTAAATTTTATATGAAGTAAATAATGCTGTAATAAGCATCATTGTGTGGTGAGCTTAGGCTTGATTGCCAGAGGTGAGATAGCAGGATCTCTAAGGGTATGGGTCCTTTTTAATAAACAGCTCTCCAAAAAGGAATGTTTTCGGCAAATTATTCTCTGAAAGAGGTCATCTGTCATCCTAGGACTTTGAGACAGGTGAATGACATGCTCAGATCTGTGTTGCAAAAAGAGCCTTCTGGCTCTGATGTGGCCTGGAGTGGGCCAGACACTGGAACAAAGGGAGAGTGGAGGGTATTGTGAAAGTCCAGCAAAGGCTTCATCCGAGTGAATGACCATGGAATGGATACCGAGGCAGGAACTGTACTTGGATGATGTGGAAGGGTAGAATTGACAAGACTTGAAAAAGAGTATGTGGTGAAAGTGAGAGAGGGAGGTGCACAAGATGGGTAGCTGGGTGGGTGGTAGTAGTATTGCCTATGTTGGGGAATCAGACATTGTGAGGGCAGGGAGCAGGGTGCGGGAGATAAGGAGGGTAGGTTTGAACTTACATGTGTGAACATGTAGGCTGGTAAGATTTACAAAAAGGAGAACTGAGAGTAACAAGTTTGGACCTTGAGGATGACATGGGAACTGTAGATGTAAGGTGATTGAGGTCACAAGGGCAGGGAGAACTTTCCTTGGTAGGAACCAATAAAGGAAGTAAGCAGAGCTGGCTTCACCAGTATGTGACTCGTAACTCGTAATGTCTCACTTGCTATGAAGGGCCCTGCCCTTGGTTTAATGCTGTGCAGTCACCGTCTTGAAATTCTCAATAATTTTGACCAAGAAAGCCCGCATTTTCATTTTGCACGAGGACCCCGCAAATTCTGTATCAAGACCTTGAAGAAACAGCCCACAGTGTTCAGAAGACATCACTGGGATGAGTTAGGAAGCCCTGGCTGCAAGTAACAGAGACCCAGCCACCCTTGCTCACAGAATTGGAGGTCCATAGAGCTTTGGAAGTGATTTTGGAGCTCCTGCTCTGTTTGTGAAATTCTCTGGACTGAGTAGCTCTGGGCCCCAGAGCCCACTGGACATACCCTGGGAGACAAGGAGGCGTTGGCTTCCAGAAGTTCTCAGAAAGCCCAGCAAATCATTTTTTTTTCTTTCACCCCTTATTATGAATCATTTCACATGCTCATTCTTGAACCGGTGGATGGTAAGGGGTGCAGCTACTCTTAGACCTGGAGCTGAAGGTGAGTCTGCCTCTCCTGAGGGACTGGAACTGAACAGGAGCTCTTCAGGACAGAGGAAGAGGAGTGGCTGAGGCCTGATCAGGAGGTGGCCTTGCACTATGTCCCCTTAGCTCCCAACCCACAGCCCTTGCCAGCCAACTTCATACCTTTTTAAAAAGTTTCTTCCAAAGAGTTGAGTATTTGTACGTGAACTTTCAGTTTATTGATAAAGTGTTTCCTTCAATTAAACAAGAATTCACATTTAAAAATCTGAATATGTGTCAGTGTAACATTTCTAAACGTCTTCAACAGGGACAGGGATTTATGTGGCAGCATTACATTTATGTTTACATTAATGATTTTTTTTGCTTTTTAAGGCAATAGGTATCCTTTAGAGAAAATTTGGAAAATACCCCAAAATGCAGTCTTTTAAAAAGTCATCTGTAGCCCCATGGGATAATTATGGTTAACGTTGTGATAAGATTTCATTCCAGTCTCTTCACTGTGAATGTATGCTTCTGATTATCAGAGTCACGTGGTGCATCAAGTTTTATATTCTGCCTTTTCCCCCTCTTTTTACCTTAATGTTGTTTCATGACTTTTACTCCTGTAGTCTTTAGAAACTATAATTTTTAATGATTGCATAATACTTGATTTAGCTTTTCAGAAAAAGTTAACTCTTTTTCTGACTATGAATGTTAGTTGTTCTTCAGAGAGAACTTGGAAAATCAGGAAAGTATAGATAATACCATATTTCATCTACTCTAAGATGAACTGTTTTTTTACATTTTCACATCTCTGAAATTGGGATGCTGCTCAAAATCGCTGTCAGCCCAGCAGCAGTTGTAACTTGGTTGTCACCATCTGTATGTGAAAGCCATGTCCCAGCAGCAGTTGTAACTTGGTTGTCACCATCTGTATGTGAAAGCCGTGTCCCAGCAGTGTATATTGAGGTTAAGTGCATTGTTGGTGTGTTGAGTAATTGCTTTAAAAATGTCTTCAAGAAGATACTGTGGGAGGGAGACACAGGAGGGAGGAGATATGGGGATATATGTATATATGTATAGCTGATTCACTCTGTTATAAAGCACAAACTAACACACCATTGTAAAGCAATTATACTCCAATAAAGATGTTTTAAAAAAAAAGGTACTGTGACTTAATGCTGAAAATAAAAGCTTTTGTGGACACAGGCACAGAAGCAGAACAGTGGGGAATAAGCTTCATATCAATGGAATAAATGTTGCTGGAGAAAGGACTGCAGTTCTTTGTTTCCACGCCAAGCTAGCCAGATGCTTCATAGACCACAGAAAGGAAGGTTCCACCTACCCTCAGGGCGGTGAGGCTGGGTCCCCTTTACTCACCGAGGTTTGTGCAAAGAGATTGTTTATTGTGGGCCTTTGCGGAATGGATATCAGTGGCTTGGAAGAAAACTCCAGAAACAGTATAGTGGAGGACTGTTGAAGAATTGCCACATCATCATTGCCTGGAAGGCACAGGATGATGGTGAGGACATCCGTGACCCAGGGTTCGTATTGGACTCTAAACGGGAAGAACCAATTTATTTATTTCACTTGTTTTTCCTTTTTGGTGTGTGTGGTATGCATGAGTGAGTGAAAAACAAAAGCATGTGCCCAAGTGAGCTTAAAGCTGAGTTTTAAAATAAAAGTTTTAAGTGTAAAGAATATCATAATGATATCACTTGTGTGTGGAATTTTTAAAAAATGAGACAAATGAACTTGTTTACCAAACAGAAATAGATTCATAGACAGAGAAAACAAACATACGGTAACCAAAGGGGAAAGGGTTGGGGGGCGATAAATTAGGAGTTTGGGTTTAACAGATACATACTATAAAATAAACAATAAGGACCTACTGTGTAGCACAGGGAACTATATTCAATATCTTGTAATAACATATAATGAAAAAGAATCTGAAAAAAAATATATATATATGTGTAAGTGAATCACTGGTGTAACCCAAAACTAACACAACATTGTAAATCAACTATACTTCAATTAAAAAAGATTTTTTTTGAAGATAGCAAGAACACAGCCCACAGAATGAAGGAAAATATTTGTTTGTCAAATATCTGAAAAGGGACATGTATCCAGAATATGTAAAAATTCTTACAACTCAACAATAAAAGACTATCCAATTAAGAATAGAAAAAAAAATGCATTTGGTCTTAGTTTAATTGCCAGTGTGTTTTCTTTCTTAGTTTTATATAAGATGGTCGTACATTGAATGAGATCTTGGATTCAGTGAAACACAGTAACAGAATTGAGTGTGTAACTATTTAAAGTATAATGGTTTGCTTAACTATTTTCCTCTGGTAATCTGCTATGCTTTAACCTTCTTTTCCCTTTTCAGGACTCACTTTTATCATCAATGTTATTTATAACAATAATTATTACACAATTTTAACCTGCCTAGTCCTTTACAATTTATAAAATATATTATTTATGTGTTTATTGAATAGGTAATAAATTCCCATGATTCAAAATTCAGAAAATACAAAAGGGTCTACAGGGGAAAGTCTCCCATCCATTCCTGTCCCCAGCCATCCAGTTTTTCTCCCAGGGTGTCATCAGTGTTAGTTTCTTCTGTATTCTTCCAGTACTAGATATCTCTATCCATTCCTCATTCTTCTTTGTGTAATACTAATGACTGCATCCTCTGTGAACTGTCAGCCTAGACTCTTTACTGGGTATACTTGTGTACGGTTATACACATTACAAAATTATAGCCAAACATTAGTGCTGGCCGGTTGGCAGGCACGTGTTATAATTACAACTGAACAGATAATTATACTGAGGCCCAAAGAGGTCAAAGTTATTTTCCCAGTGACAGAGCTGGGACTCAGACCTGGGTCTTCTAGCCTCTATTGGGAAGACACAGGAATGCGATATATTAGTGAACTAGTTTCTTTCAAACCACACTGTTCTTCCTTGAAATGCCAGTTAGCATTTGAAACTCCTTGGTGCTAGTTGGAACCTGTCAGTTGAGCCCCACTTCTGGGCCTTCAGGAATCATCAACTCTTAGTAACCATTCGCCACACCGTTTATGAGGTATATGCGCTCTAGGGACAGGGAACAGCCCATGCGAATGCCTGCAGCTGTGGAGAAACCTGCTGAGTTGGGGGGCATTGGCCAGGAAAAACTGCTAGCTTTTCCTGCCCCTGACTGCTCGTCTGTTCTCTCTGGGATTTGCCTTAGTGCAGAGGGTATAAACAATCCCCTACAGAGTCGTAGTGGAGGTGTGGAGGACACAAAGCAGAGGGAAGCAGGAAAGAAACTGTTCTGAGGTTCCTGGAGCCATACTGCATTTCTGAGCATGTCCTCTGGTCCCTCACATGACCTTAGTTTTTCCCCAAGCTCATTTCTGTTGTGACAACTAGCAATGCTGAGTACTGAGTGATAACCAAGTGCAACCTATTTAGATACATTAGATACGAGCAAAGAACTCACCGGTGGTATACTGGTAGGTGTTTAAAAACCAACCCTCTGGGGCTTCCCTGGTGGCGCAGTGGTTGAGAGTCCGCCTGCCAATGCGGGGGACACGGGTTCATGCCCCGGGCGGAGAGGATCCCACATGCCGCGGAGCGGCTGGGCCCGTGAGCCATGGCCGCTGAGCCTGCGCATCCGGAGCCTGTGCTCCGCAATGGGAGAGGCCACAACAGTGAGAGGCCCGCCTACCGCAAAAAAAAAAAAAAACAACAACAACAACCCTGTGGGATGAAACATGGCCCTGATTTGTAACACTTTCTGGCTTCTGTGATACAGTTATTCCCACCGTGGCCAATTACATTTGTGCATATGTGGGATAAGTACCGGATGGCCAGAGGGGTGGGGGTTACTAGAATGATCAGCATGCCCAGAGATGACAGTGGGGTCAGGAGGGCGTTTGTGGATGAGCTCGGCTTCAGGCATAGTTCAGGTAAGGAAGAATGTGATCATCCGGGTTTAAACTTCACGTGCGTGCCCCAGACCCTGGGGTTTGCCGTCCCCTGAGGAGTTTCCCTGCCACCTGATGGACCATTACTTGTGCCTCCTTCCTTCTCTTCAGAACCTCTCCGGAAACCCCAAGAAGTTGACCCAGATCTGGAATCTGGAGAGAGTGTGGAGTATTAGGAAACATCCTAGTACGTGCAAGCTAGAGCTTGAGTCACTGCCCAGACTCTTAGGCCTTGAGGCTCATGCTGGGCCGGGATAACTTTTGGGGATTGTGTCTACAAGTTGGTGTCCCGTTAAGGGAATCTAGTTATGATGTAATTCCTGTCTCCCCCGCTGGTACATGGGATAGCTGTGCTAGACTGATTGGCGTGTGCTTCATCTCCCACTTGGAGCCTGACTCCCATACAACCAGAGGTGTGTAGGGCAGTCGGGGAGGTAGAGAGACTGAGATACAGGAGCCCTGTCCTTAATTGGGCACTTCCGCTTGGCTAAGTGCTTCCACTCAGGAGCCCAGAGCTAAAACCCAGCCCCTGTCCTTCTCCACCTGAGTGGGTGATGGAGCCCTGCCCTCTTCCAGCTCTATGACCTTGGGTAAATAATTGAACCTCTTTACATCTCAATTTTCTAGCTTATTAAATGGAAATGATAAGACCTTTTTCCCACGTATCTTCACAGCCATGAGTAGACCCGTGTTTTCAAGGGTATTGCAGATCACTTGTTTTCCTTAGCCGGGCCAACACACTCCTGAGGTGCGGGAGCCCCTCCCACTAGGAGAATGCACTTCTGGCCAAGAGGTGTGGGGTGTAGAGCAGCATCCCCGGTTCACACACCAGCTCTGAGCTCACTGTCTTGTGTTTCAGGAATGAACCGACTTGCAGAGGGATCCTCTTGCCCAGTGCTCTGCAGGACCTGTGGGAGATGATTGTAAGTACCTTTCAGGGCTCCAGATCCCAGGAGCCTTGCAATCAAGACCCCCAAATTTATCAGCCCCTCGCGTTTTTTTGTTTGTTTGTTTGCTTGTTTGAGAAAACCTATCGTTTTCCCTTCATTTGGTTGTGAATTGCTTTTTCACTAGACGCCTTGAGTTCATAGCCCACCTGGTCAAGATGCTGCCAGAAATCACCATCTCCCTCCACTGGGGCACAAGAAAGCCATCTTATCCTGAGGCACATTGGCTTCTGGAAGGTGCCTCTGACCAACTACAACTTGGGATGTTGGTATAAAAACGGTCATGAAGCTAATCATGGAGGTCCTGCTGCTGTTGCACGAGGGGGCAGAGCTCTGGGGGTTGGTGAGGGGAGGGGGGGTGCTGGCTCCTGGCCTCTGCGAAGGGGAGGGGCAGTTCTTTTCTCCCACTTCTGCTCTTCCCCAGGGGAGACTGAAGGAGCAGCGCTAGCCAGCCCTCTGCCACCCTCTATAGCCGACTGGCCATAGGCCAAGCTGCCCAACACTTGGGTTTCCCAAATCTGTACTCTGCTCTCCCACTTCACCTCCACTTTCTGAGCATCTTAGGCTCTGGGACACACTCATCCTTTACTGTAAGGCTGCAGTAGCTACATCTGAAGGAAAAGTAGGCCGGGAAGGGAAAGACTGCGTAAAAGAAGGGTGATGTGCCCTTCAAGGACACTGAAGAATTAAAAACACGGACTCAAACAGAACTTGTACACCAGTGTTCATTGCACCATTATTTACAATACCCCAGACGTGCCCAAGTGCCCATCAACAGATAAATGAATAAGCACAGTGTGGTATATATATATATACAATAGCATGTTATTTAGCCTTAAAAAGGGATGAAGTTCTGACACATGCTCCAACGTGGGTGCACCTTGAAAACATGCCGTGTGAAATAAGCCAGAAAGAAAAGGGCAGATATTGGATGATTCCATTTACATGAACTAACTAGACAAGGCAAATTCATAGAGACAGAAAGCAGAGTAGAGGTTTCTAGAAACTGAGGGGAGGTAGAAATGGGGAATTCTTTCGTGGTACAGAATTTGTTTGGAGTGATGAAAAAGTTTTAGAAATGGATAATGGTGGTTTGCACAACATTGTGAATGCACTTAATGCCACTGACTTGTACACTTAAAAATGGCTAAAATGACATATTTGATGCTGTATGTTTTAAAACTTTTTTTATCATGTTAAAATACAAGAAAGAAAAATTTCACAGAGCTGGAATAAAAGAGGAAGTGGTGTCGTGTGTCTGTGTTCCTGCATGTCCTGCGGGCTGAGGCTTAGAGGAGCTGAAGGTGGGCAGGCAGAGCCACTGAAAATGGCAGATTCCAAAAGCTTTATGCGAGAGTTTAAATAATTTTCTTAGAGCAAAACAGAAATGATTCCCACTGCATGTGCAGAGTTAATGAACAAGGGTGGCTTCACGTGATTGTTACCCGACCTGTGTTGTCCTTCCAAGCGTCCCACATCTTGCTAACGTATTTTCCCCTCTTACCTGTTGTAAGGTAGGGTCACTGGTAAGATTGGACTGGTACTGATGCAGCCTCAGCTTTCTAAAGGTGCCCCTCATTGCTTCTCTGCACCACACGCACTCTCACCCTTCCCTGCCGCCCTGTGCTGGAAGGTGGCTGTCCTCATCCGAGAGGCTAGCCACCCTCTATACTCAGTACCTGAGTTCTGATGAGGTTTGTACAGCCTTGGAAACTAGCTTACCTTCGGGGGCCATTTCATGCCTGCCCTGTGGGCAAGTAGCCCCTTGCCAGCATCCCTCTGCAATTTCCTTTCTCTTCCTCTCTCTTTTGGGTCCTTCTCTTCTGACTGTGCCCCCAAGCCCTGCTCAGCCCCTCAGCAGACCTCAGGGGTTAAGGTAAATGGGACCAGAGTGTCCCAACCTGTTTGCCAGAAGGAGCCACCCATATTAGCTCCTCCTCCCCATGGGCTCCTATTCTCTAGTATGTTAATTATCAAAAACACTTATTTAATAAGCAATTCTATTCTATATTATGCTTAGGCAAAAGTGTACCTACCAGCTAATGACTAGCATGAGTTGGAATAAAGGCAGTCAAAAGAAAAAGACGTGACACTTGCATTAGCTCAGGCAGCCTTATTGTAGGGAAAGGTGTTCTCTTCAGTAGCATTTCTTGAAACGTTTAGAAAAGGTCAAGGGCTGCTCTGTCTTTGGCTACCTCTAGGGGTTGGGGGAACCTCTCCTTTGGTCCCTTCACTTGCACCCCCTCTCATGCCTTGGCAGTTTCCTATCCTGCTGTCAAGGGTAGAGTCTGTGAGACATTTGAACAGGTGGCAGGAAACCCAGTACAGGACCAGGTCTGAAACCTTGGGCTAATACTTCCACACCCATCATGGAGCCGTAAGACAGAATTCCCTAGAGAATAACAGACCCCCCTCAGATGCTCTCAGCAGCCCACACAGGTGGGCAGATAGGTGCTTTCCACAAAGACTGTCCTGGGAGCTTTGGAGATGAGTCACTGGCCCACTCTAGCCCAGCCCTGCTGAGTGTACAGGAGCTTCCCTAGGGATGGGTCCAGCAATGAAAGTAGCCTGAGACTCCAGAGAGGGCAGCAGGCAGGATGTGCCCCAAGAGAAGGCTCTAACCCACTGTGGAGGGAGCCTGGCCTGACCACCTAAGGTGGGGACCTGGGAGGGAAGCCCAGGGGAAGCCCCCCTTGTTCTTGCTCCTGGTTCTGTCACCTAGTCCCTGGAGCACAGGGCACCGCTTGGGGGATATGTGAGAGGACACAGATGGAGGGTGGCCGCATTGAAGCCCCAGGGCCACGGGCATTGATTGGCTCCTAAAAGAGACCCTTTGGAGAGGACTTCAGAGTGAACTGGGAAGAACTAAGGAGCAAGATTTATAAAAGTAATGTGGAAAGTGGCTAAAGCCTACCTAAGGCTTAATTCTGTGCAAAGAGAGACTGAGTTGTAATTTACTGGCACCTGGGTAGTGAGGAATTTAATTTTGTTCTTAAAAGAGCTGGCCTCTGTCCCGAGCCTCTGGGAGGCGATCTCTAAAACGTCCTGCCTGATGGGACTGTCTGTTTACCCAAAGGCTTTGACCCATACCAACAACGTGAGTTAGGGTGAGGGCTGGCCACACTAGCTAGACCAGCCACGTGGTTTAAGGTGGAGGCTTTGGGTCATTGCCAGAGGAGCTGGAGACTCAGATCAGCCACGTGGGTAGTCCGTCAATCCATCCTGCTTCCGTGATGGAGCCCCAGTAAAAACTCTGCACGCTGAGCCGGGGGTGAGCATCCCTGCGGGCAGTGGTGTGTGTGCTGTCACACATCAGTGCCAGGACTCCAAGGAGGAGGACAGTGGAAGCTCTGCATTTGGACCCCTCCTGGACTGTCCCCGTGAGCTCTCCCCTGTGATAAACTGGAGCTGTGAGTACAACAGCCTTTCATGAGTCTGGAGTCTAGTCAAATTACAGAACCCCCTGCAGGGGCGTTTGGTGTCAGAAGTGAGGGCAGGCTTGCCTGAACGGCACCCTCTGAGCAGAGCAGCTCCTCTTTGGTGGAGAGACGTGTTCGTCAGGGAGTCTCAGTTTCCCGTCTCTCTTGTCTTGCACTGTCCCACCGGCAGGCCACCATCGTGGGCCCGGTAGGTAGCAGCTGCCGGGCGCACCCCTCGCTTTGCTCGTTGTGCTGTACGCGCTCACAAACGCACTAACCCGCTTCGGTGTCTCCTCCTCCAGAATGACAGTCCTTACCAAGGAGGTGTTTTCTTCCTGACCATCCACTTTCCTACAGATTATCCTTTCAAGCCCCCAAAGGTAAGGACGGGACAGGGACAGCATGTGATAAAGTCACTGGTACAGAAAGCTGCACCTGGGACTCCTCCCAAGGGCCCTCATCCACCACCATGGGTATGGCCTCCCAGGAGTTAAACGCGGGACTTCCAGAATCCATTCCTCTTGTGAGCAAGGGCCGGTGTGGTGACAGGGGTGCTGCTTGTAGGGTGGCTGAGTTGGGACGTGTCTCAGGCTCCAGTTCCCTTCTCTGCAGTCCCTTTCAGTCTAGGACAGGGCTTCTCAGCCCCTGTCCCAGGGACATTGGGCAATGTCCTGGGATATTTGTGGTAGTTAAAGCCTGAGACGGGAGGTGGGGAGAGAACTGCTTCTAGTATCTGGTGGGTGGAGGCCAGGAATGCCACTCAGCACCCTGGATTGCATAGGACGGCCCTCAATGTCTACAGGTGGAGAGACCCTGGTCTGGGGCCCTGGCAAGTCACCTCCTTCCTGCACCCAGAGGAGTCCTGTCCTCATGAGACTCACAGTCCTGCGTGGGGGACATTTAGTATGAGAGCTGGGCCACGCAGAGGAGAAGCACAGAGCAGGAAAGTGGGACATGACAGTGAGGGCGGATGGCAGGGGGATCGCCCTGAGCATGGGAGGGCCCACAGGGAACCGGGGGACAAGCCTGTGTTTGGGGGTGGGGAGGATGCCAGAGGGGTGGCCCATGGCATGGGGTCTGTGGCTTGCTATGGTGCAGAGAGGTGGAGTGGGGGCCGGGCTGGTTGTGAAGGCAGGGCAGGTGGCACGAGGGCAGGCAGGAGAGGCAGATTCTGGAGGATTCCAAGATGGAGCCAACAGGAGAGGCGGCAGGCCAGATGTGGTCACACGGCAGGGACGTGTACGTGATTCACTTTTAACATATTTTTATTTTTCTGATTGGAAAATCGATAAAAATTGGTTATTTTAAAATTAGAACATTTGGAGAACTAACTAACATACAGACGGAAATCAGTCTCCTTATAAACCTATCCCCAGAGGAGATCGCAACTGACAGCCCTGTATACACTCCTCCAGGATTTTTCTTCATACACCAATATATATTTTCATTCTTATTTTTTTAAAAAAATTGTCGATTCTGGTTGTGAATGAGAAAACTGAGGCTTTGAATGGGCACGTCATTTCCTGAAAATGGCATGGCTCATAGTGGAGGGTGGGACTTGAACCCAGATGTGTCAACCTATTTTCTCTTTAACTTTTTATTTTGAATTAATTTTAGACTTAGAGAAAAGTTGCAAAAACAGTACAGAGTTTCCATATATCCCTGTCCAGCTTTCCCTAAGTCAACATCTTACATTACGGTAGTACAAGTATCAAATCCAGGAAGTCAGTGTTGGCCATGATACTCTGAACTAAACTGACGGCCTTACTTTTTTACCAGTTTTCACTGCTGTCACCCTTGTGTTCTAGGACCCCGCACTGCATTTATTGGCTTGTCTCCTGCATCTCCACGGTCTGTAGCAGGGCCCCCGTTTCCCCTGGTCTTTCATGACCTTGATGCTCTTGCGAGGCATTGATCAGTTATATTGTCGGAGGTCCCTCTGTCCCTCTGTTTGTGTGATGTTTCCTCAGGGTGAACTAAGGCTTTGCGTTTTAGCAAGACATGCGCAAAAGTCTTGAGTCTGTCTCAGGGCCCCCGATCTCAGGGTTTGTGATATGTCGTACTGCCCCGAGGTTGACCTTGATGGTTCAGTTGGAATCAGACCCCTTACCCCGTGTGTGCACGTTGTATCAAAGCCGTGGGAAGAGGCCCCATCGGGCTTCTCAGCCGCAGCTCTTCCTGGGCATTGCCACCAGAGGCCATCTGGTGGCTCCGTATTTTAAATCATGGTTAGATGTGGTTAGGATCCCGGAGATCTTGCCAGCTTTTAGCAGGGGAGACCGGGGTGTGCTGGGCAGAGGCGGGCAGATGCTAAAATAACTCTTGAGTATGACTGTTATTCCAAGGGGTTTGGTTGCAAAGCGTGTTTCATGGTCTTGAATGTACTCCCTCGCCCCTTTCCCTGTTGAGAGATGCTGCCGCGTCTTGTAAGGTAGGGATCTTCCATCTTACCTCCTTCATGAGAGTATGAGCTGCTGCTGATCTGTCTTAAAATAAACAGGATGTAGTCCTGTATGTCTCTTGGGCATTTTCAGGATTCCTGACTCCCTGCCCAAGGACAAAGAGAAAACAGCGCCTATTATTAAAAGACTGAAGTAAGCCCTGTGAGTTGGAGAGGTGTAAGCTAAAAAGTCCTATCTCCTACAAGAGAAGAGGGTGTTTCTGTCTTTTTAAAATCTCCTTTCCACGGGAGAACAAGATAAAGTAGACTGACGTTTTGGCAAGAATTTTCTGACTCTGAGGGGGGTCTGGCAAGACTGTGTGATCTTCTTTCTAGGAGATTTTGGGAGATAAGGCAGATACTTAGTGCCTGAGACGCTTTGGAAGTTTGACCCGTCCTGGAAGAAATCATTTGGTAATAGATGATAAGCCTCCCATACACACAGCTTCCTCTCCTCATATTGTGAAGTAAGTTGTTTTTTAAAAAAAAAAACAGGCAAAACCCCCACTATTTTATCATAAACTATTTCAGGCATGTAAAATATTGTAGATAATAATATAACGGATGCCCACGTATGCGCCACCCAGCCTAAGAGCTCCATTTTTCAAGGAGACTTCCGAGTCCTTGCCACCGTCCTTCTTGTTGCCCCTCAGAGCACACTACTTTGGGGCAGTTGGTGTCAGTCCCCTTGTCTAGCTCAAGTACCCAGCAGGAAATGGGTTGGGGGTCTACTCCTCTGGGTGCCCCTCCTGTATCCTGTTCAGGTTTGGGGAGGGAGCCCAGCTCATCCAGGACCGTGCAGGGCAGTAAGTTATTTCAACACTTACTGTGGTATATTTTAGATATACCCAGAGTGGTTGTTTTCATTGCCTCCTCTGATTACAAATCTCTCTTACAGTGTCATGGCACCAGATTTCATTACAGGAATGAGGATAAACGCACATACTCTCAGTGGGCACCAGACCTGCTCCATGCTGCCAAGAGTGGCACTGACTCACACGCTGGTGGCCAGATTCCTGGAGCCCACATGCTGGACAGCCAGGGCTGTTCCACGCTGACCTCTGTGTATCTCTTCCTCATCCACATGCATCCATGTTGTAGGACGGGAGAGACGGAGGGAGGAGGTTCTTTGCACTATGAAATCTTCCCCAGCAGACAGTTGTGAAGAACCCTCAGGACTCACCAGGCTAGGGGTTTACGGCCGTGAATGACACGTTCCCGCTCCGGGCAGCCTTTACTGCATTCGTCCATCAGTCCTCGGTATTTGACTGGAAGCAGCAGCACTGCCCCCGTATCAGTTCTGTTCTCTGCTCCGCATTGAAAGGAAGTGACCGTTATGCACGAGGGTGTCACCCCCTCTGCTTTTTTCTTCCAGGTACAACAGACTAGCGAGAGTGGACACAGAAATATGCTGTGTAAGTGCCTCAGAGGTTTTACGGGAGACATTGTCCAAGAGAAGCTGAGCTGAGGTGCTGGCCGAGCCACTCACAGAGCATCATGTCTTCTGCAAACAGACGCTGCTTGCCCACTTTCCCCAACCACAGCGTGTTGGTACCACTCTCAGCCATCATGCCAGATCAGCGGTCACTGTTATGATCTGCAGCCTTCCTGGCTACATTGGAATCTGTCCCGCCACCCCGACTCACTGCTCACCTCTTGGGGGGACCTGTGCGCCTCCCCTGCCCGGCCTCACTCAGGCAGCATCGCTCACGGAGGGGATACACAGGGGGCCTCAGCGTGGCCCCTTACCACGTGCTCTTGGCCTTTTAGAATTCAGTGCCAGCTCGGGTGCCCAGGGCGGAGCGGGCAGGCTTCCCTCACATCCCGTCTGCCGCAAACCACATCCCGAGGAGTCTCCACTCATCCCAGGAGTTCCTGGGAATTGGGAACAGTGTCACTGGGAAGTGGAGGCCTTACCCCACAGCTCCCACCAGCCTTCCTCGGCAGCGCCACACGCTGGCGCTCTCCCCTCACGCCGAGCAGCGGTAAATAGAAGATATAAAGGGGTATAAAGCACATAACACACCATGAGAGATGACTGTCCTTGTAGAAGCAAGAGCAAAATTATGAAACCTGGAAAGATATGGGTTATGCTTTTCTACGCGATGAGGTTTTTCATCACCCCTACCTCCTCCCGTTCAGAGCCTCCATGAAGTCCAAGTGTGAGCCAGTCACTGACCAGACACAGGGAGAGAGGGGGACTGTTAAATGTAAATAAAAATGTAATTCACTCATAACCCTAAATGATAACTGACATTGAAGTCTCTTTTTTTTTTTTCCAGGCAGAAGAGAAGATACGGAAACTTTTAACAGGTAGCCTGTCGGGTAACTGGCCTCCTCTCTTAAGTTTCTGATGCAACACATTTTAAGACTTGCCTTCAGAGTTCAAAGGTTTGAGATTACGTTAGTGAGGAGAAGGGTAGGAAAGGGGTTAGTCTAATTAAACCTCCAAAGAGAGGGAGGAAAACTGAGGGACTTCAAACCTCTAATGTCAAATTTGGCCTGGTCTTTCCTAAGGGCGTTTCAAAGCTGGTCCACTCCCAGAACAGCCCTATGAAAATAATGTCTGGGTGAGTAGGACCAGGGGGTGGAGAAACACTAAAATGCTGCAACCAGATGGCCAGGCCTGTGGAGTTTGGAAGGAAGCCTACAGACCTTGCAGCTGGGGATCAGCAAACAATAGGTGAGCCCGGGAGGCTCATCTGCTCCAGAAGGTGCCCAGTTGTAGCACAGCTTCATTGCTCTTGCTTCCCAGTGAGAGTGCAGGGATTAGTTACCACCGCTTCCTTAGCAAAGCAAGCAGCAGTCTGAGCCTGGTCTGCACCTACCTTATGGGGATCCCCACTGAGGATCCTCTGTTACCACAACAAGGCTGCTTCCTGTGTTCCGTGGGCCCCGCTCCCTGCCTGTTACCGTGGTGAGGGTGGCCCTTTTAATTTTCGTGTCTTTGCTACCCCTTCGGTCTTTACCTAAACAAAATGATAAACGTTAGGTGTCCCCTGGGAACGCTGTCATCACACGGCTCTGCCACTTCAGACAGGGGTCACGGTGCTCCTTGAACCAGGCGTAACAAAGCACGGGAAGGTAGATTCACGTTTCAGAGACAAGTCAGAGGCTCAGAGGAGAGACCTCCAGGCCCAAGTTGGTGCCACGTTTCAGCCTTTCCAGTGTAATGGCTTATGACTCGCAGCAAGCTGATGAATTTTCTCAGTCCAGTCAGAATTTCCCCAAGCCTGCTCTCCCTGTTGGAGATCTGCAGTAGAAAAAGTAAAATTATCCCTTTGGGACCCCCGTATAAATTACCATTCACTCTTCGCTAACTTGAGTTGCGCTCTGTACCTGCCAGAGCCCTTGGACGGGCCACCACAGTGACGTGCCACAGGCCTGTCCCTGGCAAAGTCCCTGGAGTCTGTCCCCATGGGAAACTTGCTTTTCATGGCTTCCAGGGTTCAGGTCAGTCTGAAGGACAGGCATCTTAGGTCGAAAACCTTATTTTAAAATGCACCGCGGTGCAGGCAGCTCCCGCGTAAGCCACAGGTGCACATATCATGTTTCCAAGGCGAGTCCCAGGTCAGTCACTGGACAGCAGCTCTGAAAAGCTAACGGCGGGAGTGATACATTCTCTTCTCTGCGGACCAGAGATATCATGGAGATGCATGGTCTTAAGCAATCGATCCAACATGAACAAATGACTTAGCTCTGGCCAGAAGTGTCTCAGTTTGCAGGACGGTGCTGAGATCTTGATCCTTTGTCAGGCTAGGGGAAGACCCAAGAGTTCCAAGAACACGGCACAGGGTCAGTCTCCCGACAAGGGATGAAAACACCAGAACACCAATGTCCAACGGCCTGGCAGCTCACAGCTGAGCTGTGTGTCAGCACCGTGGGGTCCCACACCACCCGACTGCAGATGCTCAAGGATGGGCCGGTTTCTGTCTCTGAAATTCAGGAGACAGTCTCCTGGAGTTCCAGAGAGGTGCTTATGGGACTGGTCTGCAGAACTCCTGGCCCGATGCCTGTCCTGGCAGAGGCTGAGAAAGCTTGAGAGCAACATAGGCCACCCATCCCTCCCGCCCTCGCCCGCCCATCCCTCCTATGCCTCTGTTCCTCCAGCTCTTCTCGCTGCGACACATGCTCCCTCCCTGGCAGTACTGGGTGAGGATTGGATGAGGATTAGATCTAGCCGTGAAAGCTGGTCCTCTGAGAAACGGAGGATGGCTTCCCAGGGTTACCAGCCTGGGTCCTTGGACTATTTAATCAATAGAAATTGATGAGAGACCAGACAAGAAATTCCAGCAAGGCTTTAGTGGGACTTGAGCGGCAGCAGGGGGAGTGAGAACAAGTAGCAGGTGCGCTTGCTCGCTCCCCGAGCCGGAGTGGGCGTGGAGGGGTGGCTTCGGTGATCTGCGCACCCCCTTGCCGGTGCCGTGTGCGGGGATCATGTGCAGCCCCCCGCTTTTGCTCCGCGCACCTCAGAAATGGCAAGTGGGTTTTGGCCTTTTTGTATCTTACTGCTCATAACGGACCCCACCTGCGCACGCGTGCAGTTATGTTTTAGTCCCTTCGAGTTTCTTTCTATTCTGTTGCTTGAGGAGAGGAGGCGTTTGTCCAGGTGCAAGCACTCCAGGAAAGGGTCCCAAGTCCCAGGTCCCAGCCTATCTCGCCAGCACCCGCAAGACAGCAGCCTGGTGCCACGCAGGCAGGCAACGCTCACCCCTCAGGTCTGGTGTTCTCCCCCGGCCCGTCTGCTGGTCTCCTCATGACCACCACCAGGGTTTCTGTTCTGTTGTCAGAGAGATTTTATTAAAAACAAAACCAAAAAGCTATAGAAAATCTGCAAACCCCCTATCAGACCAAATAGTGGCTTCTTGACTTTCCTTAAAAAAAAGTCTCCTTCTTATCCCATCTCCACCCCACTTCTCCCAGCCTCCCAATTCTCACCCTTCAGAGAGGCCCACTTGGTGTATCCAGCTCCCTACCACAGAGCTTCCCTCGGGGTGCAGGGGCTTGGCTACCTCTCTTTGGGAGGTAATGACAGAACTGCCCCGTTGGAGCCTGCCTCTCACCCCTGCTGCCCACCCCTATCACCGCAACAGCTCAAGGGCCTACTCACAGGCGGGGGAGGGAAGACCACAGGCCTCAGGAAGGAGGTGGGACTAGGGTCAGGTCTAATGGATGGACGGGGGAGAGGGTCCTGCAGGCAAAGGGAGCCCTTCAACAGAGGCTGGGTTCCAGCATATTCTGGGAGCTGACTCAGCACCTGGGGATACTTCTGCACATGGCCCTTCCCAAACTGGGGCCCTGTTACCTTCTGGCAGCCACAGGGGTCACCAGGACACTAGGGTAAATGGAATCACAGGGCTGACCTTTCCGGAGAATCACTGAAGGCAGAGGAGTGGCAGGATGAATACAAATGTTCATACTAAGTGGATGGTACACTTCATATAAGCTGGTGTGTAAGACCATTTCACACCCTAGACCCCCAGGGAAACAAGCACCGTCGCTGGACCAGGGACCTGTTAGGGGCAAGGACACAGGCACAAAGCTGCATCTATCTAGCCCTCTATCCATGTGAAGAAAGACGTGCCGTTAGGCCTGGGCCCAGCCTGGCCTCAGAGTTTGTTCTCGGGAGCAATAATGGCCTGGCTAGGGCACAGGAAAGAAGGTCAGCAGTGCTCAATGGGCAAAATGATCCAACAGCTCCAGAAACAAGGATGCGGATGGAGGCATGGGCCATGAAGTTGAGGGTGGCAGAAGCAAGGGATTAAGGCTTCTGAGGAAAGTTGAAAGTTCCGTGTCAAATGTCCAGCAGTGGGAATTCCCTGGCAGTCCAGGGGTTAGGACTCTGCACTTCCACTGCAGGGGCCACGGGTTCAGTCCCTGGTGTGGGAACTAAGATCCTGTATGCCGCGTGGTGTAGCCACAATATATATGTATGTATGTCCAGCATGCAGGCTCAGGATGCCTTCATCCTGAAACAGGAGGGACTCACAGAACCTGTTGATATCTTTGGGTTTAAAATGTCGGCAAAGGGGCTTCCCTGGTGGCGCAGTGGTTGAGAGTCCGCCTGCCGATGCAGGGGACGCGGGTTCCTGCCCCGGTCCGGGAAGATCCCACATGCCGCGGAGCGGCTGGGCCCATGAGCCATGGCTGCTGAGCCCGCGCGTCCGGAGCCTGTGCTCCGCAACGGGAGAGGCCACAGCAGTGAGAGGCCCGTGTACCACAAAAAAAAAAAAAAAAGTTTTCCTTTTAGGGCAGGAAAAGCAACGATTTCATTTCTCTAATTCTGTAGTAATGTGGCCGTGTGTGGCTGGATCAGAGAGATGTAATCCTGGTGGTTTTTAAGAAAATGCTTTTCTTGCTAATTGACACATCTGTGGAGGAAGACTTTGAATAAACACCTATTCTTTCCTACTGATGGCTGTGGTCTGAATGATTGTGTCCCCTCAAAACTCCTATGTTGAAATCTTAACCCCCAAGGTAATGACATTAGGAGGTGGGGCCTTTGGGAGGTGATTAGGTCCTAACGGTGGAGCCCTCGTGAATGGCATTAGGGTACTTACACAGGACGCCCCCAGAGAGCTCCTTTGCCCCTTCCACCACGTGAGGACACGTGACGGCCATCTATGAACCAGGCAGTGGGCTCTCACCAGATACCAGATCTACCAGTGCCCTGATCTTGGACTTCCAGCCTCTAGAACTGTGAGAAATGAATTTCAGTTGTTTGTAAGCCGCCCAATCTGTGGTGTTTTGTTACAGCAGCTCGAATAGGTGGAAACCCTGGGGGACACCGCTGTGGCAATTCTTTTTCTTAACGTTGTTGACTCCTTCTAGGCAGTGGGCTCCGGAAGGCGTTTACCAGCATGGTCCCTCCACACTTGGGCCCAGATGCCTTCAGGACACAGCTGCCCTCAGAGTGTGAAGGACACTGAGCATTTGGAGCCCTGCTCTCATGCCCTGGATCTGTTATCCTAACGCACCAGGAGAGCATCAAGAAGTAAAGAAGATCTGAGTCTATCAACATGCAAGAAGAGCATACAGGCTTGTGTGAATGACAGAGCAATTTGCTAAGGAGAAGAGGGAAGAGTCCTAGGAATGACCTGTGGAGACATCTCACATTCTCAAACCAAGGAAAAACCAACAAGAGGGAGATGGCCAAAAGGAAATAGGAACTCAGGAAAAGCAGGAGTGGGAGGGAGAGGGGCGTGGACAGGATCTACACACAGCAGCCAGAGGGACATTTTTTTTAATAAATTTATTTATTTATTTATGGCTGTGTTGGGTCTCGGTTGCTGTGCACGGGCTTTCTCTAATTGCGGCGAGCGGGGGCTGCTCTTCGTTGCAGTATGCGGGCTTCTCATTGTGGTGGCTTCTTTTGTTGCGGAGCACGGGCTCTAGGCATGCGGGCTTCAGTAGTTGTGGTGCATGGGCTCTAGAGCACAGGCTCAGTAGTTGTGGTGCACGGGCTTAGTTGCTCCGCGGCATGTGGGATCTTCCCGGACCAGGGATCAAACCCGTGTCCCCTGCATTGGCAGGTGGATTCTTAACCACTGCACCACCAGGGAAGTCCCCAGAGGGACATTTTAAAAACATCCCTAGATCAGGGACTTCCCTGGTGGTCCAGTGGTTAAGACTCCATGCTCCCAATGCAGCGGGGGCCTGGATTCGATCTCTCGTCAGGGAACTAGATCCTGCATGCCGCAACTAAGAACCCACATGCCACAACTAAGAAAGATCCCACATGCTACAACAAAGATCCCACATGTGGCAATGAAGATCCCGCGTGCCACAACTAAGACCCAGAGCAGCCAATAAATAAATAGATAAACATAAAAACATCCCTAGGTTACATCCTCTCTGTTTAAAGGCCTCCAGGGATTCCATCACACCTAAGAATAAAGTCCTCCCCCCTGACCCACAGGGTCCTACAGGATCCAACCTGCACCCATGCTTCCTTCCCTCTCTTCTTCTCTGGGCTCCCACCTCAGAGCTCCAGCACCTCTTGTTCCCTCTGCCTGGAACACTTCTCTCCAGATCTTCCACAGCTGCGCCCCCCACCCTCCCAGCCCCATATCCAGTCTCTGCTCCTGTGTTACCTCTGGGAGGCCTTCCCTGATCTGTCAAGCTGAAATAGGCTACCACACACTACAGCAGGAAGTGGAATCCTAATGTCCCCACCTTCCCACACCAGGGACCCCCTCAGCCTTCTTTCAGTGGAGCCTGGGTCTCCCTGCTCTTCCCTCATCAGTATGGATGGACCTGGTCACCACACTGAGCTGATCTAGTGCCAGGACAAAGAGACCTGCACAGCCTGATTCAGGCAAGGTAGGGCCACCCCCAGTTGACTGAAGTGTTGAAAAGTGCTCCCTAGTAGGCCTTAGGGATCCAGGGCCCCCAGGATGGGGACTGGCAACCAAGTGGATGAAGGAAACTGGTAACTAGGACGTGTTTAAATAGGAACATTCCCAGAGAAAGAAGAGAAAACAAAGACACGTGGAGCCAAAGAAAATAAGAAACAAGAACAATACGAGTGTCTGTGGGTTGAACTCCCCTGGAATATGGAGGCAAAGGGACTGGGGCGGATCAGAAAGTCACCTGAAGGTCAGAAAGTCACCTGAAGGTCAAGTCTGAGGAAAAACATGTTACTGAAGACAAAAAATAGACTAGAAATCGGGAGAGCTGGGAGGCCTCCAGTTACTAGAGTTCATTTTTCCGAGGCAAACACATTAGCGAAGTCAAAGTGGAGAAACGAGGAGACCTGTACACTGCAGAAGATCCAGGGTGGTTGGGGACTGAGCAGGGCCGCAGACAGAGCTGCTGAAGCCGAGGAGTATTTGGCCAGGACCGAAGGTTTCCCCAGGGTGGGACCAGGTAACTGCTCTGTCCATCAGAGAGATGTCAGAGTTTCTGCCTGTAAGACAAGCAACAGTGATGTGAACAGCAATGAAAATGGACATAACAAATGAAAAGTATTTGTGCCCAAATAAGGTTTACAAGCCCTTAAATGCACAGTCCAGACCCCAACACCTTAAGATTTTGGTAACTGATTTGGCAGCAAAATCTGACCTGAACTGCCATGAGGCTATTTAGTCTTTCTATAACCCACTTGACTGATTTTTCAGACGTCACTGCAGAAAAATGAACACGTTTGATTACCAGACTCTGCTTGGGTTCCTGTGGTAGAGTTTATAGAGTATAAAGGGTATATGCGATATTTTCTGAAAGCTGAACGACTCCGAATTCCAAAGTATGGAATTCTAAGGGGCTATGGGAATGTGGATCTGAATTTTAGGGAAGTGGGGGAGTTCTCTAGGGCAGAGAAGGAAGCTGTGAGCTGCTGTGGGCTGGGCATGTGTCTCTGTTTCCCTCCAGGTAGGTCAGTCATAGTCAGGTGCAGGTTGAGGCATGGTGGACCCCTTCCATCAGTCAGCCAGGGCCTGGAAAGAACCAGGACCATGATGGAGCAGGACCCTATGGGGCCTTCCCGGAGCAGACACCCCGCCCCTGCCACCATGTCCTCTGCCTGCCTCTTGTTTTTAGAAAAACTTTAGCCTTCTAGGCCTTCCCTAAGTTCCAACGAATAAATTTAATCAGAGAAGTGAGAAAATGCAGAAACAAAGGAAAACAGTCAAGCAAGACAAAATAATAATAGTTTAGCCACTAAACAAAGTCAAGGCCCTTTACTGCCTCCTCAAAGCTATAGATATTATTTGGAGCCATATCCTTGAGCTATTTTTTGCAGATACTGAAGGCCCCACTAGGTGGAAGAAGTTGACTGCGTGCCGCCCACAACCCAGACTGCTTGGAACCAGAAGGTTGACGATGTTGATTACCGGTTACCTCACCACCAACCAATCAGAAGAATGTCCACGAGCTGATCACACACCCCTCAGCCCCCTTGCCTCACCCTATGTTTAGAAACCTTTCCCTGAAAGCCAGCGTGGGGAGCTCAGATCTTTTGAGCGCTAGCTGCCAGGACTCCTTGCTTTGGCGCCCTGCAATAAATGCTGCACTTTTCCTTCACCACAACTTCATGTCAGTAGATTGGCTTTACTGCACTGGGGCCAGTGGACCCAAGTTTGGTTGGGTTAACAGGACCAGCACGGGGCAGGTTCTCATCTCTCCTCCGCCACCGCATCCTCTACCTCACTAGAAAATTCAGGTGAGGTCAAAGAAACACGACAGCACTTCGAGTTAGGTTTGTGGCAGTGTGACCATCACTTAGTGTTCATTTTTATTCTTCTCATTAACTCATGCCTGCTTCATTCATAGATAAAATTTCTTTTGAGGGTCCACACAGAGGATCGGGGTATCCCGTGCCTGTCATGAATCCAGCATTCTCAAGCAAGTGCTTTAACTGCAACAAGAGTTTAAGAATAAAATGCACGGTGCTCCGTGAGTACAGCGAACAGGGGGCTGGGTGGGGTCCCTCCGCCGGACCCACAAGGCGCGCCCGGGCTCGGCGGGGCAGAGCACGGGGACGCGCAGAAGGCCGCGCCCTCCCTCCACCCCCTCGTCCAGCTGTTTGCAGACCGCGACCCGCACGCGGGCCCCAACTCCCCAGCAGCCCTCTAGTCGCCTAGCCAGCACTCGCCCGCTCACCCGGGCCCCGCCTGCACCGCTTCCGCTTCCGGCTGTCGGGGCGGGGCTTCCGGCCGACGGGCGGGGCGTCGGGCTGCCCGGGCCCGGAAGCGGCGGCGGAGGCGCGGGCGCCGCAGTGTCGGCCATGGCTGTGAACCTGAGCCGGAACGGTCCGGCGCTGCAGGAGGCCTACGAGCAAGTGGTCAACGGGAAGTCCCCGACCGACTGGTGGGCGCCGAGGCGGCCAGGGGCGGGCCGGGGGCGGGCCGGGAGCGGGCTGGGGCCAGGGGGCGCGGAGCCCTGTCTGCCCCGCACCTGCGCCACACCCCGGGGGGGTGGCGGTCCCCACCCTGTCACCCCTTGCCCCACCGTGCGTGGGCAGGTTAAACCCGGCGTGGGGGTCCGGTGAGTCCCCAGCCCTTTCCCTCCGCTGGCCACCGGTCTCGGCCGTACGGGCCTCGTTGATGCATCCTGTACCTGGCTGTGCTTGAGGGCTTCGCCAGGTTCTCCTTTCTTGCCCGGGGACTTCCGTGGACAAAGGGGCCCTCCACAGCCCTCCTTGAGAAAGCGGAAGCTACGCCCGGCTTCTTCCAAACTCTGTGTTCAGGGATGGCCCTCTGAGGGTGGTCTGGCAGCCTTGCTTTGGAGATGTCAAGCAGGCAGGTGGAGGGGTTTAAGTCCCTGGTTCCCTGTGAATGTGTATTCGAGAACCTCCCTTTCTCCAAGAAGAATATACTTCATATTCCTGAGCTATGGGGAGATGAAGGAAAGGACGATGCTGGTTATGTGTTTGGGAAAAGGTCCCATCTTCCGTCCACCTCCCAGTGACATCCTTTCCTAGGTTGTCGGTGTTAGGGGCTTTATAATACTGGAAGCCTGGATCTGAAGTCTCTGGGAGAGCCCTGGGCAGCCCACACATAGGGCCTGCTGTCTGTCCTGCAGCTAGGGTTGTTTTTTGCATGGTAATTCTCTGTTACCTTCCTTTTTGCTTAAAGTGTGTTCACTGACCAGTTTTGAGAACTTGTACTTCCAAAAACTATGCTGAGTACGATCGAGTGAGGTGACCAGCTTTTGGGTTGGGAGCCTTTTCCCATTGCCAAGGGAGGGGCCCGCTGGGCGTGGCTGAGCTACTGTGGCTCTCTCCACTTGTCAGGTGCTACTGCTTTCTCGTGTCTACTTTCCCTGGTGCCCAGCACAGAGTGGCTTTTGTACAGTGTACTGTTGTGACACTGAGGGCATTGTTGCCTTGCCATTCCTTCACCCCCAAGCCTTTTAGGGAAGAGCTTCAGGACACCAGCTGCCTGGGTCTGCAGAATCTCTGGGGCCACGTCGATGTGGGCAGGTCTCCATTCACTAGCTGAAAAAATATCTAGATCCATGTCACTTCCCTGCTTAAGCTCTGCAGTGGCTTCCTGTTGCATCATAAACACAGCCTGGACTCTTTGCCATGGCTGACAGGCTCCTGACTGCTCCTCCTGTTTACCGTGCTGTGGTCACACCTGTTTACCACCACTCTAGCTTTCTTTCTTTTCCTTAAACTTGCAAAGCAGTTTTTTCCTCATAGCTCTTGTTCTTTCTGCTTCCTCCGCATGGAGCGCCTTTCCACATCATCCTAGGGGGCTCCCCAAACTTCATTTCTCAGCTCTGATGTTGCCTTTTTGGAGAGGCCTTTCTGGATTCCTGTCTCCCTGGCTGCAGTACATTTTCCCATCTCCCTGGTTGACTGCCTTTAGGCATGCACCAGACACCCTCACTGGTTTTCTTGTCACCTTTGCTCTTCACCAGAAAGGGTGGGGTGGTCCCCATCTCTGTCCCTGATGTAGGGGTACTGAGAGCGGTGCGGAAAAAGTGGCAGAGGATATCAGAGCAAGAACAGGTGGTCTCCGGTTCGGCGGGTCATAACATGTTTCTCATGCAGAGTGGGTGCCCCGGGCCAGGCCCTGGAGCCAGGTGGGCTGGAGAGCAGCCACAGCATCAACTCTCCATACCGGCTCTTTCTCCTGGTTCCCCCAGGTGGTTCTTCCCCTAGCTTGTGGCATGTTTGCTCAGTTCCTGCTCCCACTGCACTATCTGACAGTATCTGACACTATCTGGGTGTGTGTGTGTGTGTGTGTGTGTGTGTGTGTGTGTGTGTGTGTGTG